GATTGCCAAAATAATGAAAAGCTTTCAGGATAATCGATCTAAAGTCGAGGGCAAAACAAAGCAATAAAAAGGAAACAAAAATACATGAAAAAGAGATTAAAACATTTGTAAATCAACAAAACACCTTGGTGTACACTTATTATTTAGGAATGATTTTTACTGGAGCAACTTCAGCGCAAAAAAGGCTACTCCGTGAACTGGTTACGCCTCACTATTACATTACCGCTCTTAGGGTTTATGATATCTTTGTCGTTGTCGGCATGGCTCAAATTTATCGAACGGCCATAGTCATCTATTATGATATTCAAGACTTAAGAGTTGCAGAAGTAAGGCAAATTATTGATAATAGCTCATAGAACTTGCCTTTAAACGGAGCGAAATGTGAGGTACGAAACCCGTGATCGGTACAAGCTGCGCCAAGCTCATGATGTTCACAGTTATAATGATCTAATGCCTAAAATAGAGTTGCTGGTGGTATAATAGGGAAATCAGATATAATAGAGAAAACTGGTAAATTCCCTAAAGACAGTTTATTAGCTTTCATGAGTAGAAGGGTTTTTTATAGTTTAAAGATTTAATTAGATTTGAGGGTTTTAGTAAAGAAAATATGTAAATAGGATTTATTGATTATAATAAGTCCTAAGTAAAGTTTATTATAAATAAAGGTGTTATCGCCCCAAGAAAAAGATGTTTTCATTTGCTTCATGAATAACCAAGTCTCAAAGTTATCAAATACATTGCCTATACATTGTATAAAAATACTATTGCGCAAATACACTTTTGAACTCTAAAGTAATAATTTGTCATTCGTTAAGCCCTTGTTCACGTGATCTAGCATTGTTGACTCAGAGTAACTGAAGCCTTAAATCACCCACCAGCCAAATCTAACACACCTCTTTTGTAAGGTTACTACCCGCAGGTTACATGAGTTTTTGGATTGTGGAGTGACCGAGTCGTAGCTATTCCGCCCATAACAATATCAAATGACTGTCTTCTTTTTCTGTGTGTCAAATGACTGTCTTTCTTTTTCTGTATATCAAATGACTGGCTCTTTTTTTCCACGTGTCAAATGATTGTCTCTTTTTTCTGTGTATCAAATAACTATTTCTTTTTTTCTGCATGTCAAATGACTGACTCTCTTTTTCTGTATGTCAAATGACTGTTTCACTTTTTTCTTTTTCTGTATGCCAAATGACTGTCTCTTTTTTTCTGTATATCAAATGACTGTTTCTTTTTTTCCACATGTTAAATGACTGTCTCTTATTTTCCACGTATCAAATAACTGTCTTTCTTTTTTGTGTGTCAAATGACTGTCTCTCTTTGTTGTGTGTCAAATAATTGTCTCTCTTTTTTCATATATCAAATGACTATCTCTCTTTTTCCGCATGTCAAATGACTGTTTTTCTTTTTTTTTTTTTTTTTTTTTTTTCTTTCTTTTGTTCTTTTTTTCTTTTTTTTTTTCTTTCTTTTTTTCTTTTTTTCTTTTTTTCTTTCTTTTGTTCTTTTTTTCTTTTTTTCTTTTGTTCTTTTTTTCTTTTTTTCTTTTTCTTTTTTTCTTTCCTCTTTCTTTTCTTCTTTCTTTTTTTCTCTTCTTTTTCTTTTTTCTTCTTTCTTTCTTTTTTTCTTTCTTTACTCTTTTTCTTCTTCTTTTTCTTCTTTTTTTTCTTTCTCTTTTTTCTTCTTTCTTTCTTTTCTTTCTTTTTCTTCTTTCTTTCTTTTCTTCCTTTCTCTTCTTTTTTTCTCTTCTTTCTTTCTCTTTTTTCTCTCTCTTTCTTTTTTTTTCCCTCTCTTCCTCCCTTTCTCTTTCCTCCCTTTCTCTTTTCTCTCTTTTCTCTTTAATATAATATATACCCTTTTTATTCTATTTTCTTTTTTT